TATTTTCCGCTACTCATTAATAATCTTATTATGCTTCATTGTGAAAATTCTTGTCTTCTGCTTTCGTTCTCGCTCCCGTTTCTTTCTTTCCTTCCTTTTCCCCTTCTTGTTTTTGGTGATTATCATCTTCCATCCTCCTCCTCCTCGTGCTCATCTCCTCTCCCTCCTCCCTTTTCTCTTCTCCTTTTTTATCCCATCATCATAATATCCTTCTCACTACCCTTTTTAACATCAACTTGTATCATAGCAAGCGCCACAGTTATAATGAACGTCATTCATCACATCATCACTATCATTATCATCATCACTACACACCACCACCATCATCATTATCATCGCCTTCACCATCACCACCACTATCATCACCAGCGCCATCACCATCACCATCATCATCACGATTATTATCATCATACCCACAGTTATTTTGATTCTGCTTCTTGGCAGATAAATAGCACACGTTAACTCCATAATTACACGTTATCATCATTATCATAATTACCTTCAGTGTCTTGTCTTTTTTCCTGTAATTTCGGACAATCCTTTGTTTTTTTTTACTTCCATTTTTTTAGGCGGGGGGGGGGGGTATTAAGCACACAGACCAGCGCGCAGACACCACCACATACACACGCACTAGTACACATACACGTAGTACACATACACATACACGTACACACGCACTAGTACACATACACGTACACACGCACTAGTACACATACACGTACACACGCACTAGTACACATACACGTACACGTTAGTACACTACACGTACACACGTAGTACACGTACACACGCACTACACATACACGTACACCACGCACTATACACATACACACACACGCACTAGTACACATACACTACACACGCACTAGTACACATACAGTACACACTACTAGTACACATCACACACGTAGTACACCACGTACACGCACTAGTACACATACACGTACACACGCACTAGTACACATACACCACACTAGTACACACATACACTACACGTACACATACACGTACACGCACTAGTACACTACACGTACACACGCACTTAGTACACCACGCACTAGTACACATACACATACACACGCACTAGTACACATACACACACGCACTAGTACACATACACGTACACACGCACTAGTACACATCACGTACACACGCACTAACACATACACGTACAACGCGTACAGTACACAGACAGTACACACGCACAGACAGAGTGGAGACAAGTTATTTCGACTTTGCGCGCGAGTCTGAACAGACACTTTGACACGCATTGACACATATTCCACACGTACCCACACGCCCAAAGCCACCCACATCCACACGTACCCACACATTCACACGGCTAAAACATCCACATACACACCTACCCAAATATCCACGCACCATAAGCCATTCATATCCACACTTTCCAACACATTCACACGCCCAAAGCCTCCCACTTCTTCATCTATCCGCACATTCACACCCCAATGCCAAAGCCACCCATATCCACGCCTACCGAAACACCCACACGCTCAGACACCCACATCCACACCTACCCACGCATTCACACACCCAAAGCCACCCACGTCCACACCAACCCACACATCCACACGCCCAAAGCCACCCACATCTACACCCACCCATAGACCCACACCCACATCCACACTAACATTCACACATCCACATTCATACACCCACACCCACATCCACTCACATACCCACACCCACATCCACGTACCCACTCACATCTACACACAATGGGGAGACGGAGAGAAAAAAGATTGTTCATGTTAGATGGAACACGTAAAAAAAAAAAAAAAAAAAAAAAAAAAAGGAAACGAATGGTAAACACAAACAAACGATAAAGACATTTTTAACTTTGGCACAGGAAGTGATTGAAGCGAGCGGGAATGCATGTCTCCTTTCCCTTATTTTTCTTCTTTTTTCTCTCTTCTTTCTTCTTCCTCTTCTTTCTTTTTTCTTCCTTTTGCTTCTTCTTCCCTCCTCCTCCCCCGCCACCTCTTCTCCCTGTCCCACTTCTTCCTCTTCCTTCCCTTCTCTTCTCCTCTCTCCTCCTCTTTCCCCTTCTCCTCTCTTCTTCTCCTCTTCCTCTTCTCCCTCCTCCACCTCTCCCTGTTCCTCCACTTCTCCCTCCTCCTCCTCCTTCCCCCTTCACCTCTCCCTCCTCCTCATCTTCCTCCTCCACCTGCTTTTCCTTTCTCTCCCCTGCCTCTCCCCTTTCTTCCACACGCACCTTCCCAAGCATCTACACGCCAAAAGCCACTCACACTGATACCTTCCCACAAATTTACACGCCCAAAGCCACCTAGATCCACACCTACCCAAACATCCACACGCCCAAAGTCACTCACACCCACACTTGCCCACACATCCTCACGTTCAAAGCCACCCACTTCCACACTTACCCACACGCCCAAAGCCACCCTCTTATACACCTACCCACACATCCACATGCCCAAAGGTACACATATCCACACCAACCCATGCATCCACACTCCCAAAGCCACCCGCTTCCATACCTACCCACACATCCACAGGCCCTAAGCCACCCATATCTACACCTACCCATGCATCCACACTCCCAAAGCCACCCGCTTCCATACCTACCCACACATCCTCAGGCCCTAAGTACCCACTTCCACACCTACCCACATATTCACTGGCCCAAAGCTACCCATATCCACACCTACCCTCACTTCCACAACCCAAAATCAACCACTTCCACACCTACCAGAACATCCACACACCCAGTCATTCACATCCACACCTACCCACACATTCACATGTCCAAAGCCACCCATATCCATACCTACCCAAACATCCACTCCCACACCTACCTACACATCTACATCTCCACACACCAAAAGCCACCCACATCCACATACCCAAAGCCACCCACATCCAAACACCCAAAGCCACCCACATCCACACACCCAAAGCAACCGCATTCACATATCCACATGCATAAAGCCACCCACATCTACACCCATACATCCACATGCCCAAAGCCACCCACATCCACCTACCCACACATCCACACACCTAAAGTCACTAGCATCCAATCATCCACACATCTAAACTCACCCATAGACCCACACCCATCCACATACCCACACCCATACCCATCCATATACCCACACCCATCCACATACTGACACCCATCCACATACCCACACCCATCCACATACCCACACCCATCCACATACCCACACCCATCCACATACCCACACCCATTCACATACCCACACCCATTCACATACCCACACCCACATCCACTCACATCCCACCCACATATACAACAATATCCACACATCCATATTCATACACCCACATCCACACACCCACATTCACACGCTAAATGAGATGGAAAATGTAAACAAGAAAACGATAAAGGCATTTTTAACTTTGGCGCTGCACAATAAGTGATTGGAGTGAGCGGAAATACAGGTCTTCTTTTCCTTCTTTTTTTTCACTCTTCTTTCTTCTTTTCGTTTTTTTCTCTCTTCTTCTTTTCTTTGTTGTTGTTTTCTTCTTCTTCTTTTTTTCTTCTCATCATGTCCTCCTCCTCCTCTTCCTCTTCTTCCTCCTCCTTTTTCACCTCCTACTCCTCTTCCTCCTCCCTACTCCTCTTTCTCCTCCTACTCCTTCTCCTCCTCCTACTCCTCTTCTTCCTCCTCCTCCTCCTCCTCTTCCTCTCCCTCCTCCTCCTCTTCTTCCTTTCCCTTCTCCTCCTCCTTCCCCCTCCTCTCCCTCCTCCTCCTCTCCATTCTCCTCCTCTTCCTCCTCCTCCTCCTCCTCCTCCTCCTCCTCCTCCTCCTCCTCCTCCTCCTCCTCCTCCTTATCTTCCTCTCAAAGAAATTAGGCCTGAGTATTTAGTAATAGTAAACATGATAAATTATTATTAATATTCTTATTATTGTTTTTATTATTATTATTTAATTAATATTATTGTTTTTATTATTATTATTTAATTAATATTATTG